TGGATGGAGGGATGGAGGGATGAAGGGATGGATGGGTGGATGGGTGGATGGGTTTATGGATGGATGGATGGATGGATAAAAAAAAAACAATTTAATTAATCGGTTAATATCTATATACTACGATCGATTCTCAGGTAGTTCTAGGTGTCGCACAGAAATTAAGGATAGGGTTACGTGGTTAACAACAGCAGCTGGTGAGACTGACATTCAACCTTGTCCTGGAAATGCCACAGGTGAACCTTAACTTAAATAAGAGCGAGTATACTAAGGCACTGCTAATAAACACTTCTGTTTATTGTAATGTTGTCCCATTTGAGACCACGTGTCATTCGCTTGAAAATAAGATTTTTATGAGTTGTTTCCATATCCATGTGACTTCTCATGCACAAGCCTTAAGCAACGAAATGATGATAACTAATGATAACAATGCAAGAGGTAGATTCTCTAGAAGCTGACACACATGTTATGACTTCCCTCTTATCCTTCAAGTGTTTTCTTTTAAATTGTTGGGTCTCTTTGTTGTTTGGGAGGATTTTATCTGGGTTCTCAGACTTTCTTCCCTCTGCAAAACCCAACAAGCTACATTCCAAGACCATTCCCGAATTAGATTGACTGATCATTCAAGCGAATTCGGAAAAGGTCTATTTGATCTGTGAGTTAGTCTGTGAGTGCCCTGACTTAGATCAGCCCAGAGGCTGTTTCCTGGTGATAGTGTTCATAGTAGGTTGGAAACAAGTAGGTTTTTAAAATGTGTCTTTGATTATCTTCTTTGATATCAATTAAATCAGGACAAACAACGCGTCGATGTATTCTAGATCAAGATTCCAAACCACGATGGGATAATGTCAATGTTGGGAACTGTACCTCAATCATCTTTCAAAATCTCCTTCTTGAGGTATGTATCTAATACTATCTACTACTAACTTACAGTGCTTCTCAACAACACTCGAAATATTCGTCACCTACAAGTAGGTTTTAGTAGACGTCAATCAAGACGTTTCCATAACATTCCATAGGCACGTGCTCTGGAAAACGTCATGTTTTTCAACGATGGCATGGAAACACTTTGAACGACGTCCACCATTGACCATAAATTGTACCATTCCGCGCGTGCGCGCAATCAAGAAGCACTGTAAAGCGTGTGGTATGAAACATGCCAAAGCACTGAAATGGCTTTTTATTGTCTTCACGAAAATCATCCAATTACAGAGCTCTGACCCCGGTCACATCAATCAATCAATCAATAATCTATTTAAACACGTATCGTCCAAGAGCTTATAAAGGTCGTTCAAAATACGAACGTGTACACGACATAAATAAAATGCCTCCCAAGAACAAACCATGATAAACCAATCAAAGCACCGACGATTTGAACACATAGTTATTTTCTACAAATTAGCGCGCGTTTTTGTAAACGAGTTAAAGGCGTACTTGCGCTAATGTTTCTCCGCTAGTTCCATATGTGCCCTTTATTCCTTGTTGAACAAATACAATTCAGCAAAACGTTATAAGTTTATTTTTGAATTGCGTCGTTGCAGGCTGAAGCTATCGTTTCAGACTATAAATCATCGTTGAATTCAAGTGCTTTGCTAGAAGAACTCAAACATATTACAACAACAAGTCCCTCTGAACAAATTCGCCTGAATGGTGGTGATCTGGATATCACTGCGCGTATCTTGAGCATCTTGGTCAACGACAGTAAAATTGATAATACTATAGACAACGACCAACAGAATTTTATGGAAATCTGCAGTAACATCTGGGAACCAGCTAACGCAAAGCCGTGGATACAGTTTGAAGATCAAAGGAGAAAGGTATTCATAGGGAGCACATAACGTCATAGCTGCCCTTTTGGTTGACTTTGACAAAATAGGAGAGCCTATGTAGCAAGCAGTTGATGTAATGTTTCATAAAATACAATGAATCACACCTAATATAATAGATAGAACGACAATGTACACAAACAGTTTAGCATACATGAAAAGAAGCCGTACATTCATTTCTAGCCCCTGCCATTTAAATTTTAGTATTTTTTGAGATATTTGAGAACCCCTAATTTCTTTGGAGTCTAGCAAATTTTAACCATGTCAATCCCTCTGAGCCAAAGAGTATATTTTCTCCCCCATAGAATACAAGCACGTTATGGAAACGGTTGGTGATGACCGTTGATGAATATGGTCTCCAGCTCACCAATTATATAACTCTTGATAAAAACAAAGTCTTGACGACCAAAAATATTGTGATGCAAGTAGACAAAGTCGGTCTACAAAACAAGGTAAAAATTGGCCTTTTTCTTAATCATTTTTTGAAATTATTTGAGGTTAAATATGGAATCACATAGTTAGCGACAAGATCTAGAATATGATAAGGATAAATAGAGATTATATCACATGTTAAGAGCTTGATAGTATTCATTATTCATTATTCATTATTCATTATTCATTATTCATTATTCATTATTCATTATTCATTATTACCCATTTAGGGTATATCGTATCACTTCACTGATATGGTTTTTATTCACGGCTTTATCACACTGCGATATCGAACCTAAATGTGTAATAAAGAAAATCTATTGCATGTAACAGCGAAATTCTTTTATATGGAATTCATTTTTTTAATATATAAATAAACCGTTTCTTGTTAACAGATCAAAAAACAAGGCTTGAAATTTCAACACGAACAAAGTTCTATATTTCTACCTGCTGAAATATTCTCTGGCGACACACCAGATCATCGTGTCGTGAGTTTAGTTTACAAGACCCTGAATTTGGTCATGCGTCTACGGAATACAGCCAATGAGACGCAAGCTGGCAATGAAAATGACTTGGTAACACCTAATACGACCATGGTGACCAGTACTGTCCGACCAGAACCGACCGGAAAGCTAAGAAGCTATGTTAAAATTGTGGTCGAAAATAAAAAGGTAGGGAAGAAAACAGGGAAAAATTCTCATTTGGGATTGGAATTGGGAAGAGTATCTTTGGGCTTGTCTCCGGCGTTTATTTCCGGTTTCTGTACAATAAACTATAGTATCCGTCATCTCTCTATATACCGGATATTACTCCATCGTGGGTCTAACCCTCTTTCAGCTTCTTAATATTATCTTAATATATTATCTAATATACAGCTATTTCAAAAACGATTGGGGAATGTTTTTTCTGTATATTCGTATATTGCAGGCCTCATATTGCGCAGGCTGCATTTTCAAGTTGGTTATTGCTTACCAAGCTTAAAAGGTGGCACATTCATATGTAATTATTATCAGCACGGAAGAAAAATATGCAGAAAATAGTGCAGACAAATCATGGTATATTTTCATACTATTTAAGTTTTCACTTCTCTGAGCAGCTTTTACCAGGTTATCTGTTATTTTTGCATTTACTGTATTGTATTATGTGAATTTTGAGGTAATAAAGTTATATATACATATTATTGTGACATTTCGCTGATTGGGTGCAAATCGTGCATAGTGCATTTCGGGTTTAGAATGCAACATGCAAAAAAAAAAAAAGCCTTTACCGGCACTGTTTTTTGAAATAGCTGTATATTGACACTAACGGTGTCTTTTCATTTTCCAGGTCGTAGATCCTGTTCCTCCAAGAACATGCGTGTTCTGGCGAGACGGTTTGCCAAGTATGTGGAATACAGACGGTTGTAGCCTGGTAACCAGTGAGTCTACTAAACACGTGACCACCTGCAAGTGCGATCATTTGACAATATTCGCATCCCTGATGGATCCTTATGGTGGACCGGTAAATAAAGTGTTTTGTGTAATATTCATTCGTCATAAAATCGCATTATCTGCTCCATGTGACGTCAAAGCAGCCCTATTTGGAGTACAAAGCAATAGAATTTCAATCACCTGAGAATTGGAAACCTTTGTTATGTCATCCAAATTAAGCTGCATTCCGACGGGCTGCAAGGGAACTTTTAAGACTCGCGATTCAGCTTGCGCTGATGAACATTCCACTTTAAGACAGGAAGTGACGTTTAGTRATCATGAACTCGAGGAAGTATACGTACCTTACACATGTTGTTTTGTTTGGTTAAACACCTTAAAAAGAAATGTATCGTTAATGAATGCGTGGGTAACCTGCTCTGTGTAAGGGAAGCTATTTCCTCTTTCAGGTTCTCCCCATAGCTTTTCTTCTTCATTTTGCTGTGTAAAACCATTAAAGTAAGTGTCTCGCTTCTGTTGTATATCGCAGCTTCCTCTAGAGCATCGCAAGGCACTTGAGTTGATCTCCACCATTGGGTGCGCCATTTCTTTATTTGCCATCCTACTGACGATCGCGGTGATGGCATTCTTCTGGAAGGCCCTTAAAGGACCACGGACTATCGTGTTGATGAACATTTGCGTCGCTATTGCTGTTGTGTGTATTCTTGTCATTGCTGAGGGAACAGCACGCGAAACTAAGGTAATAAACCCTCCCTCATCGATACCCTGAAACAACCTCTATAGTACTTCGCTCTTATCTTCTTTCATGTCTACTGCCTCTCTTCAAGGATGGCTGTACCGTGATGGCTGTTCTACTGCATTACTTTCTTCTTGCCGTGTTCTGTTGGATGTTATGTGAAGGAATACTTCTCTATTTCCTTATCGTCAAAGTCATCGGCGCCAAGGTGGAAGAAAAAGTAAAATGGTTTCTCATATTTGGCTGGGGTAAGTATTTCTGTGGACCATAGATCAAAAGGAGACGTTTTACCACGAAGATTCTATATTCATGTCTTTCAGGTTTTCCTGCAGTTATTGTTGGAATCTCTCTAGGCGCTACCCAAACACATGGCTATGGTTATTATGGTAACGAGACCGCTTGCTGGCTTGCAGTGGACAACGGGCTCATATGGGCTTTTGTTGCACCGGCCATTGTCATCCTTCTGGTATATTGCTTTTGTTTTTGTTTATCAAGGGAGTTGAATGTTTTATGTTGTAAATATTAAATTTTTTCATCAAAAAAGAATTCTAAGATTAACTTTTTAAAGAAAAAAATGTTTTTCTACCAGCTGAGCGGTGAACGCGACGCGCAAAGCATGAATGGACAAAATGACGGAAGAAGCACGGGTGGCGTAGCGGTGAGAGCGCTCGCCTCTCAACAATGCGACCCGGGTTCGAGTCCCGCTGAGCTCGGTGTCGTATGTGAGTAGAGTTGTTTGTTGCTTCTCTCCTGTGCTTCGAGGGTTTTCCGGGTTCTCCAGTTTTCTTCCCTTCGCAAAAATCAACTTCTAAATTCCAATTGGAATTACAGTGGATGAAGAGCCACTGTGTGGAAATACCACTGCTAAATCCTATTAATAGCATTTCCACACATTTATTTATTTTTATTATAATTTTATTTTAAATGACCGTGAAATTGTCTTTATTCTTCCTTTCCATTCTGCTTCTCGTAGGCATGTGTATTATATTTTAGTCAAAAAAAAAAAAAAAAAAAAAAAAAAAAAAAAAAAACAGAAGACGCAAAAGTTGGGTTATGAGGGGCGGCGGCAAAACAGCTAAACGCGCTGTGATTGGCTAAAACAAAATTCACCGATAACCTGGTAGCACCAACATGGCTACCGTTTAGCCTGTCTATACAAGAAATTTCCTAATTCAAAAAATTCATTTTATGCCAGATCAACTTCATTGTATTAGTCTTAGTGATTCGTCAAATGATGGGCACACGTCACGTGCAGAGCAAGCCACTTGATATTAAAGTACGCATGGGTGTCAAGGCAACCGCTATTCTACTTCCGTTACTGGGTATCACGTGGTTGTTTGGACTGTTGGCTTTCAGCTCAGCTACCTTGGCCTTTAAGTATCTCTTCGCGATCTTAAACTCACTGCAAGGTCTTATGATTTTCATTCTTCACTGTGTGCTCAACAAACAGGTGAGTTAAAAGATTTTTTTAGAATAGTCCCCTTCACAGTTCCCTGCGCCATCTTGAAAGGTAACCGTGCCTTTGCATCGAAGCGAGACGAACGGTGAGCTTACAATGATAGAGAAATGTGAATAATTGTCCAAGGTGTTTAAAAAAAGTTTCTATCATTGCAAGCTCACCGTTCGTCTCGCTTCGATGCAAAGGCACGGTTACCTTTCAAGATGGCGCAGGGAACTGTGGAGGGGACTATTAGTCAAAGAGCAAGTGTCATTCTCTTGGGGATATGGATCTTTGTTTTAGTACGTTGCATCCATATTCATGTATTTTCTCATGCACAACTGTCCAAAAAAGAAATGATACTCAAGGGAATGGCACGTGGTCTGAAATAGGAAAACAGTACGCCTAAGCCTAAAAGGCCTATCGTTTGACATTGGCTTGTTTCGTGTCTCATCCCGATATCAATTTTGTCTTAAGGTTCAAGATGCTGTTAAACGTAAATATCAGAAATACAGTAGCACGGACTCTACAAGTAGTGGTACTAGAGGCAAGAATCTGCGACCAAAGAAGAAGAAAGAAAAACCCGCTAAACGTTCTAGCGACTTTTGTAAGAACCGTATTATTTTTAAGCATTGTTCATTTTTTATGATAAATAATCTCTTTTTCATTCCAACCTCTGGCCCTAATCTGCCGTAATCTACGTATATACCCTACCTTTCCCTACCCTATCCTTCTCTATCAAACCCAATCCAGCCCAACCCTACTCTAACTTGCCCTACGTATATCCTATACCCTACCCTACCCTACCCTACCCTACCCTACCCTACCCTACCC